ATTCCCCACGTCAACGGGCCAGACGTCCATGGAGACTGGGTCCGTCAGTGGCTGCGGGGCGGGGAGGGTGGCCCTGGCCTGTGCCAGGAGCTGGGAGCGGGTGGCAGGAGGGATCCCTGGGCGGTTCCCTGTTCTCTGGGCGTGATGACCTTCGGGCTGTTCTCACCTTTGCTCCCCTTTGCGTCCCTGCCCTGGCTCCAGTGTAACCTCCTGTTTGGCTGGAGCATCCGCAGCTACCGGACGCTCTGCAGCGCGGCGGTGACCATTGTGGGGCTCCTGGTGGGGGACTTCAACTACGACACGGTGAGTGCGCCGAGCCAGCTGGTTCCCCCAGTCTGGCCCAGTGGGGACCTGCTGTGGGGGAGCAGGAGAAACGAGGGGGGCCCACGGCAGTGGAGCTGTGCAGCTCACTCCAGTGGAGCTGTGCAGCTCCTCCCCCAGCTTTGGGGCCAGACCCTTCTGCCCCAACACAGACTGGGCGCTGCCGGGGGCTCGCCTGCAGCTCAGCCGGGGGGAGGGGCCCGAGGCCCAGCTGCTGGTGCAGATTGCTGGCAGGCACCTGCCTGGAGGTCAAAGCTGCCTCTGGCTGGATGCTTGACGGGCCTCCCGCCCCACATGCCGGGCTGGGCGGGGGCTTCTGCCTTCCAGGTTCTCAACTTGGACCCGGTCTTGGCGGCCCTGCTGATCCCCACGAGCATCGTCTCCATGCTGTACGTGCTCACAAACCTGCTGGTCTCCGCCCTGCTGACCACCTTCGGCGAGGAGCGGGCAGCGGCCATGGTAGGCACCGTGGCCTTGCCCCGGCTCCCTAGGCGGTGGGGGCCCGCGAAGCAGGCGTGTGTGGCTGCATGGCGGGGGAAGGGCAACAGCACACAGGGCCCCGGCTCCTTCAGTGGGGACGCGCTGCCTGCACGCTGGGAACTGGCCTTTCTGCTTCTCCTCCGCAGGCAAGCCAGGAGGAGTCCATGATCCAGCTGATGTGCCGCAAGCTGGCGGCCTTGCTGGGACTGAAGCAGCAGCCCTGGCCGGAGCCCCTGCAGGGCGGAGCAGCGCAGAGAGCTGGGCCTGGCTGACCCTGGAGACCCAGCTGCCATCCCCACCCCCTGCCTGTTTCTGCTAAGAACTTCAGCTCTTCCTGCTTCTTCCCCCTCTCCTTCCCCAAGGCCTGGGGGCAGGAGTAGGGGGCCTGTTCTGGTTCCAATAAATCATGTGTGAAAGTGACTGTGCCCCCCAACAGCGCCCCGCTCCGGTGCAGAGGCCGTGGCTTCCCCAGCTGGCTGAATGCTGCACACAGTGCTCTCTACAGCAGGGGGGGGGTCTCCCCTTCTTCCCTGTGAGCACCCTCCCAGGCCCGCTTCCTTCCTGCCCCAGGGCCTCACCTGCTCACTCCATCCTCCTCCTTCCCCCAGCCTCACTCACTTGCGCCAGGCTGGGGTAGGAGGTTAGGGTGCAGGCTCTGGTTGAGAGTGTGGGAGGGGCTTAGCCCAGGTGGAGGAGTGGGATCCAGGAGGGGTTTCAGGGTGCAAGCTCTAGGAAGGAGTTTGGGGGCAGGAGGAGGTTCAGGGCAGGTTCTGAGACTGCTTCCGGGTGGTGGAGCAGCGGGGTTAAGGCGGCTCACTCCTGAAAGCAGCTGACATGTACCAGCAATGGCTCTATTGCACCAGGCACCGAGCCCACAGGTTCTACTGGCCACGGTTCCCCATTACTGATCAATGGAGCTGCAGGAACGGTGTCTGCAGGCAAGGACAGCATGTGGAGCCCCCCTGCTCTGCCTTTCTCAGGGGCCGCAGGGACACGCCAGCCACTTCCCGGAGCAGCATTTACCAGAGGGAGAATGACTCCAGTTAAGCATGTGAGCACTCACTACTCCAAGAATTACATGGAAGCATAAGAGAGAACTGAAAATGCTTAAATGCACAGACCAGTCAAACCCCCCAAGCAGTACAAGATGGAACACCAGCCGCCTGTGTATGTGGAGTCGGAGATGAGAGAGGAGGACAGTGTGCCTGTTGGTGAGAATGGCAGATGCTGTGTGTGACAAACAATTGCTAAGCTCCCTCCGTCACCTTCTCTGTGTGGAGCTAGCGTACAGAAATGGGGGTGGGAGGGACACCCTGACATCAGCACCTCCCCTTTTCCTTCCCACACCCTCACAGCAAGCAGGGGGCTCCCAGGGGGTAGCTCCAAGGCAGCTGCTAGAAACGTCGCAATGCGTCACGTAAGGCACTTCCTGTAGCGAGGGGCCCGAGCTCTGGGCACGCGGGCCAAGGGAGAGGCCTTGAAGGGGGGCAGAGGGCTGCCAGGATAAGCAGGGGATACGGGCGGCTCTTACATGAGGAGGCCAAGACGTTGGTTTGCTGAGCCTGGCAGAGCTGCCCTGCACTTGCCAGGGGGACGGCAGGGGCCAGGGTGCCTGCTATCAGTCACCTGTCTGGAGAGGGCCGAGCCCTTCCCAGGGCTGCCCAGCCACTGCTCCCCCCGGGCCACAGCCTGGCAGACAGACGGCCTAATCCACAAAGCAACGCAAAGCCGTGAAGGAAAAGCTGTTTGTAATGTGTCTGGACAGAAGGGTTTCACGCAGCAGCGGGCACCGCCCTGCCTGGCGACCGCAGACCAACCATGGTGCGGCTCCGCCCACTGACCTGGCCACACGCACCCTTGCGACTCCTGCGCTGCTCTGCCAGTGTGCACTCCCGAGCCAGGCTGAGCGTGCTGGTGCAAAAAGGAAACACCCCCCCACAGTGCAGTGAAGGCCACAGAGGGCTCCCTGAGAATCCCGTGGAACTCCACAAGGCCATCGGCTTCCTAGATCGACTCTGCAAGTGGCCCCACCGCGGAGCCAGCAGCCTCGGCAAGCCTCAAGGAAGCACCTATTCTACCCCCACCACAGCCACTCTCGACCCTTTGGGAAGGGCTTTCTGTGGCAACACTCCCCCTGGGCCTGCACCCCTGGGACATGCTAGCTACCCGTCACTGGGCCTCGCCCCGCCCCCGGAGAACCAGGGGTAACCAGGCTTTCTTGCAGAGCAGTTCCCTGCTCCAGTCCTACAGGGCCGCCCTCAGGTGCTCTCCTGGGGCAGCCGACAGCAACATTTGGCCAAGCACAGCAGGGAGAGAGGCCAGAGAAAGGGGTTAGCGCAGGAAACGCATTTCCAGGGGGTGTTTCACAGGGAAGCAGCTCAGTCCCGGCTGCCCGGGCACACGCTGGCGTAGCCAAGTCAGTCTTAGGTCTTCTTCTTCAGCTCCTCAAATCTCCGAGAGAGGTCGTCGAAATCAATGTCTTCCGATGCAGAGGAGTTGGCGCCGGCCCCGGCCGTGGGCAGTGTGTCTGGCACAGATGGCAATTCGGGCAGCACAAAGTTATCGTAGGTATCCGGAGCACCAGTCCCCGGCTTTGCAGAGGCTTCTGGCTTGGGCCCAGGACCTATTTACGAGGAGAAAGCCAGAGTTCCACGCTGCGGCCGAGTGCCTGCGGCCTGGCCCCCCGCTCCAGGGCAAGCCAAGGCCAAGCAAACCAGGACAGCAACTGGAAAGGCAGCACAACCCATTCCCAGAGAACACTTGGCACCCAGGCTCCTGGCACCAGCCCGGCCAGCGCTCAGCTGAGCATTCGGCCGCCCGGGGACCCCAAGGGTGTCAGGTGATGAGGAGCCCACCGAAGACACCTGAAGGAATCTGCACTCTCTCCTGGTCACGGGTGGGCTGAGCCAGTGAGGCAGGGCAGTCCCTAGCCAACAGCGGACATGAGGCGCTAGCACCAGCAGCTCTGCTGCTCCGCCTGCCCTGAGCCCTGGGGAGAAGTCCTGGCACTGGCCACAGCTGGGAGACAACATATTGGTCTGACCTGACTGGGCCCTTCTGCGAGCCCCTGGGGCGAGTGTCTGAATTCCAGCCCAGCCCAGCCCCAGCCCACAGGCCTGGAGCGCTTGGTGTCACCCCTCGCTAGCGGCTCCAAGGAGCAGAGGTGCCCAAGCCCAACCAGAGCTCCTAGGGGCCCTCCCCCCCAATCTGGGCTGTCCTCAGTAAAGAGGACTCCACCACATGGCTGGAACCAGCAGGCTGGAGCAGACAGGGGCCCGGTTACCCAGACCCCACTCTCTCCGCCTGGGAACCGAGCCGCCTGCCCCTGGGGACTCCTAGAGCAGAGCGGTCAGCACACCGGCCTCTCCGTTCCCATACGGGCAGTGCTGGGCACCCAGCAGAGCCCTGGGCCACACATTTGCTCCCTGCTCGGCGCCTGCACCTGGCTTCCAGGCGCGGCCCAGAGTCCCGAGGGCACGTGGCCCTGCCCGCCCCATCCCAGTGACGCCGCCCTGCTCCCTTCACTGCCACCTCGTGCTCATGCCCCATGTGTGGGCGGGTGTACCCTCAGGCAGTGTCCCCTCCCAAGAGGGGCCTGCTCTCAGGGCTGCCAGGAACGCACGCCCCAGGCAGCTGACAGCCCACAGGGCCTCCCTGGCATACTCACCAGCCACCTGTGCAGAAGGCACAGCCTTGTCAGCACTGAGGTCGTCCACCTGAAACAGACACAGTGTCACTACACAGCGAGCAGGCTCGGCCTGTGCGCCTCTCCGACCGCAGCCCCGCACACCAGCCCTTTCCCTTCCAGAGACAAGGGCAAGGCCGCCCAGTAA